CTCGGGCCCAGGAGATTTGCCCCAGCCTTTAGCCAAGAATGGTGTTTTTATGTTTGGGAGAAAATAAATGCCCTTGTTTCTTTTGACTGAGACGAGCCTTTGGACTAAAAACATAGAAATCCAAAAATTGCAGGTTCATAATCCGATCGCCCCCAAAAATGGAAATGAGTGGGCATCTCTCACTTGTATTACTTCTTCCTAGTGTCCAGAAATCCGCAGGATCTCGTGATTATTTAATAATATTAAATATTGAATAAAATGTTTAGAGGATTTGCTAGACTGTACAATACTACCGCACAGAATCCATCCCTGTTTCCCTCAACTCGTATCTGCTGTTGTATCAGATGACAGGCGCAAAGAAATAGGGAATTAAAACAAAGGTAGAAAATGGAAATTGAGTGCAAACTGGTTCAAGAAATAACAAGAATGTCACACGGGAATATACAAACAGAGAAATGAGGCTGGGTTACTAGTATGATGGGGAGATATGGCCCTCAGGGTTACCAGGTAAGGTGGCATGGTTTTGTTTAAAAGCCAGCTTTTCCTCTGAGATTTTGTAGCTGTTGTGTACTACGTCTAATTCTTAGCACACATAATACACGGCACACACAATGCTGGATATTTTGTTCCACTTAGTTGCATCATTTCCTATGTAATAAGCCCAAGTACAGTGCGACACCATTGCGTAGCTAGGAACCACATAAATAATACGAATACACAACAGTAGAAAATGTTAATAAATATCTGAGGAAAGAATAAAGATCAGTTTCTGACTGAAGCTCAGAAGTTGTGAGCCTGGCCAGTACCTGGCCAGTACCTGGTGTTAGTGGGGCCAATAGGTGGTGCTCACCCTGCAGGCTGTGAGTGATCATCCACATTGGTGGTGGTGGAGGGGAGTCCCCATTACCTGTAAAGAGCTTTGAGTGGTGTGTCCAGAAAAGTGTTTTATAACTTATATTATAAGAGCAAGGAATACATTTAATTTTATTTAGTGATCAGATTACTTCTATCCTGGAGTCCTTGCACTGGCTTCCTGTCAAGTTTCATGTCGACTTCAAAATCCTCATGCTCACCTTTAAGGCTCTGCGTGGCTTGGCACCTCAGTACCTGTCTGAGCTCCTATCATCCTACTCCCCACCTCGC